CAATTGTAACTTAACATAGAGTTATAAGAGCTAAAGAAGAATAACCTCATTATATCTCAATATCTTCAAAAGGAAAAATCCTTAACTAATGAACTTGCATTAACTGGTCACAGTTTGACTGCAGCCAAATTCAATGCCATTATTTATCGTAATATCGAAAGCGATTATCATAGCATCATTACTACCCTCAACTTACGTTCTAAACCCATCTCATTTAATGAACTCCATAGTCACATTCTTGCCCACAAAATTCTCATAAAAAATCATCAAGAACTTTGTTGCCAATTTCTCTCGAAGAAATTCAAACCCAACAAATTATCAGACCTCTAACATGTCACCAAATTCAAAAAACTACCATTCCAACCAACGCCAATAGTGTCACTACCGTGCACCATGCCAAATATGCAATATAAAAAATCACACGACAAACCCTTGTCGCAAACACTATGATCAGACCCCTCAACATCAAGGCCATTGCCAAGCTAATCTAGTGCAAACCTCAAATGTTGTTGTTGCCACTCCATGGATAGTCGACTTTGGAGCCACTTACCATGTCACACCCGACTTATCATCGCTACACATTGCTGATACTTATGGAGGTTCTGATTAAATAAAAGTTAAAAATGGGGAAGGTTTGCATATTGATCATACTGGTTATGGTTTGCTTGTTCACTCAAACAATACTTTTAAATTAAAATATGGGTTTGTTGTTCCCTCTATATCTCAAAAGTTACTTTCAGTTCATAAATTTTGTCACGACAATCACTGTTTTATTGAGTTTTGGCCTTCTATGTTTTATTTCAAGGATCAGGTGACCAAACAAACACTTTTTTAGGGACAAAATAAGGATGGGCTATACCTTTTGCCCAATCAACCAAATAAGGTGGCTCACGTTGCAACTCTTACATTTAACGATTGGCATCGAAATCTTGGACATTCGTGTTCAGCAATAGTGGCCAAAATTATCATTGAAAATATATTAGAGTCCAATACTTCATCCTTGTCTTGGAAAAAATGGCAACATCAAGTCTTCCTCCTTTTCTTCATCATAGTTTAGCACCTATGGATTTAATTTTTTGGATGTCTGGGGTCCATCTCCTGTCTTATCAAATGTTGGTTTTCATTTTTTTGTTATATTTATGGATGATTTCACTAGGTTCACCTAGATTTACTTCCTCAAAAATAAAAGTGATGTTTATTCCTCTTTTATTTAATTTCAAACAATGGTTGAAAAATAATTTGACAAGAAAATCAAGGCTTTTCAATTGGATTGGGGATGAGAATTCCAGAAATTGAACACATTTTTTAGACAACAAGGAATTCTTCATCATGTGGCCTTCCTCATATGCATGAGTAAATGAGGTTTTGGAACGAAAAATTAAACATAGTTGGTTCTAGCCTAACGTTACTTGCACACAGCAAAGTATCCTCTAAGTGTTGATCATATGCATTTCAACAATCTATTTTCATAAATAATTTATTGCCTACTTCAGTTCTTAAAAACATCATTCCATATCAAAAACTATTTACAAAAATGTTTAATTTTCAACATTTACATCCTTTTGGTTGTCTCGTGCTTCCTCTTTTAGGAGCATTCCATGTGTTTACTTGGGCTTCTCACCTTTACATCCTGGCCATTTATGCTTGAATTTGGAGACGGGTCACATTTATGTAGTCCACCATGTTATTTTTTATGATAGTCAGTTTCCTTATCATAAAGCTCAGAGTTGTAACTCTGAATCACATCCTATAAATACTTTGTGGTTGAAGGTCAGCACATCCCTTGTTCCGTCCCACAATAATCAGGTACCTGCTTCCCCCCTTTTATCACTTAATTCTCCTAATATTACTAACTTTGAATTATCTCAAAATTCTTCATATCAGAGTCCTACTCAATCACTATCATCACCACCAAAATTCGTGTCCCACCCCAAACCCACCAAATGTTTACTGCTCCCTTGCATATGAAATACCTAATATTAATCTTCTTATCGATTTTTCACGCTACAATCAAATAAATAATTCACACGGCTCCCTCCCTCCCATATCTAATCATACTCATACCATGAATCTCCAACCTTCCACCATGGCTAAACGACATGCCCACCTTGTCACCATTAAAAAATGTCTTCTCCTAAATCTACTTCTTCCAAATTGTCTTCTCCCAAGCCCAATTATCTCATTGTTGAACCAACTACGTACAATTAAACATTACGCTGAGTAGCAGCAAGCCATGAGCATTGAGATCAATGCTCTTATTTCTAATGATAGTTGGGTTTTAATTCCCAAGCCACCAGGAGCAAATATTATCGGCAAGAAATGGGTCTTTCATATTAAGAAGAAAGTTGATGGTACTATAGAACACTACAAGGTGCGACTCGTGCGAGAGGGTAGCATCAACAATCTGGTGTTGATTATCAGGAAACTTTTAGTCCTGTGATTAAACACATGATAATTTAGACAGTCTTATCTTATGCTACCACAAAGAATTGACTACTTCACTAATTAGATGTTACTAATGCTTTTATTCATGGTTTTCTCACAGTTAACATATTCATGGATCAACCTAAGGGATTCATTGATGCCAATCACCCAGATCATGTTTTCAAATGAAAATGCTCTCTTTATAGACTTAAACAAGTGCCTTGCATTTGGTCTGACAGGTTCGTTAATTTTTAATGACACTTGTTTTCATTCTTCCAAGGCTGACACTTCTTTTTTATATTTTATCAAGGTGTTACAAAAATCTTCCTTCTTGTTTATAAAAATAACGTAATCACCACAAGTTTAAGTGAAGTTGCTGTAAAAAGGGTCAGTCGAGCTCATCAGTGTGAGTTTTCTGTTACGGACTTGGGTGAATTATCACTTGGTATACAAGTGAATCATTCTAGCTCGAGATTGGTCTTATCGCAACATAAATACATTCATGACATCCTTGATCAAGCGAAGATGATGAAATCAAAGGGTTATGTTACGCCAATGGTTGTTACTCAACCACTGTTTAAAGATGATAGCTCACCTTTACTAGATGGTTCTCTATTTCGAAAACTTGTTGGTGCACTTCAATACACTATGCTGACTAGACAAGATATCTCTTTCTCAATGAAAAAATTTTGTCAATTCATGCATTCCCCCACCGAACTTCATTGGAAAACACTCAAATTGTTACTCAGATACTTGCAATCCACCAGTAATCTCAGTCTTATTTTCTCAACAAAATTAAATATTCAACTTCATTGCTTCACTGATAGCGATTGGGCAGGAGATCATGATGATAGTCGATCAACGTGGTTATGCAATGTACAGGGGTTGTAATTTAATCTCCTGGGTATCTAAGAAACAAGCAATGGTGTCTAGATCCTCCATCGAAAGTGAGTACAAGGTGATGGCGAATGGAACAACTTAATTGATTTGGTTACACAGCTTGTTTTTCGAACTTGATATTTTTGTTCTAGGTCCACCTATGTTTTGCTGTGACAATCTTGGAGCAATTTATCTCTCTGCTAATCCGGTTTTTCATGCTCACACAAAGCATATCGAAGTAGACTACCATTTTGTTCAAAAATAAGCTACTACAGGCCTTTTGATTGTTAAATTTATCTCTACTTCTGATCAGATTAGCAATATATTTACCAAACCTCTACCTACACAACGGTTCCTTTTCCTCCAAAGCAAACTTTGACTATAACCCGTACGAGCATTGGTGTGACGGAGGGGTATTAAGAGACCAAAACAATCGGGACTCAATCTTGCTTTCTCTGCTCTTGAAATAATAAAGAAGAGTGAACCACACATACTAAGTACTCAATAAGAAGAATTTAAAACTCCAATCCAAAGACCAGAGATAATATACCAATTTGACTCTTTTATTTTTACTCTAACTCAACAACTCTACATGCACATTTGACATCCAATACTCATACTACCATATATCAATCTCTAACATACTGTTTCACTGCACATGTACCCCAATTCTTTCATGAAACATCCACAATTTCACAACTCAACTTTACATGTACAATTTTGGTAAATTTTCATTCTCCTTAATATAACCGTATAATTGTATTAATTGCACATTATCACATATAAAGTACCTTTTCCCATATATATATTTATTTTGCAATAATTTTTTATCATCCACCAAACACAACCAACACATGTGCATAAATTTGTTATTTTTTCATATCAATCAGTCACAATCATATAAGGAAATGATAATTTCTACTATCGACATAAAACTAGTCATAGTTACGCTTCCATAAGTCATAATTACAGTCATAATTATAATCATATGAACCATGAGATAGAGTTCATAATCATTCTTTTTCGATCCTAGACTACACATTTATTCATATCTCCCTTAGAAGAAATCTTTATTTTCTGACTTGGTACTCCCAAATACGATTTATGTAATAACCTGAAAATCAAACTCTGAATTTTATTTACAAAATTTGGGGCAAAATTAGAAAAATTTGTAAAATAAATTAAATTTAAAAATAAAATTATTTGGAAGATTAGAAATTTATTTAGAAAATTAAAATAAATTAGGAAAGGATTTTAAAAAATATATATTAAAACTCTTAATTAGTAAAATAAATTAAATTAAAATTAATTAGGGAATATTAATATTTATAAAATAATAAAATTAGATTATAAAGAAATTATAAAATTAATTAGAAATTATTAAATTTCATAAATTAATTAAATTAAAATTGTAAAATAAATAAAAAAACAAAAAAAAAAGAGAAAAAAAGTAAATTAGGATTAAAATTTCACAATAAAGAAAAGGACCAATCAAATAAAAGGGGTTGTATGTGAGATTTAAGCCTGGGAAAAAATAGGAAAGGGGATAAGGATGGCCACATGGCCACCATGCACATGGATGGGGAGATTCCCTCCCCCTCCGAGGCTGCCATGTCATCTAAATTAATCAATCTCACCATCCTTATCCCTTCCCTATTATATAAACACCCAAACAACACATTTTCCCATTTTTCAATCAACCTAAACAAAAAAAAGAGAGAAAGACGAGAGGAGGTCACTAGAAATAAGAAGAAGGTCTGCCACCGGAGCCACTGCACCGGAAGAAGAAAACTGGAAAAAGTAAGCCGATTTCTTCCTATTTCTCTTCCTTTTCACTTGTAGTTTAGATTTCAGTAATTTTTATGCACATTTAGGAAAGAAAATCCAAATCCAAAAGGGTAAACCTTTGATTGAAGGGAAGCCTATCCGCTACTATGAAACCCGACCATTTTCTATTTCAGTTAAGGTAGGGATACTAATTATAATTGTTTTTTAGATCCGTTTATCTAAGATTTAACTTTAAAATACTATAATGAATAGTTTAACTCTTTAAAAAGGTGATTCAAGGGCAAACTATTTGCTTTCTTTGTTAACTTTGTTAATGTTATTTTTCTTTAAATTCTTTAAACCATGGCATGCAATGTGTTTAAGACAAATACATTTTGGATTTACTTGATTTTGAATGAAAAACTTAAATTTAAATGAAGAGATGGTGAGGGTTCGGTGTAGTAAGATGGTGACTAAATTAAGTTATTTCCCTATATATATATATATATATATATATATAATTATATAAGATATATATGGGGTGCGTGTGTGTATGTATATGAGATATATATATACATAAACTATAAGGAATCTGTGAAAATATACTTATTTACTTGAATTAGGTATAAATGTATAAAGGGAAACAATATATATATATATACACACATATTTTCTATAAGTTTATATGTAAAGATCTTTTTTCTAACATGTGAACTTAATGTAGACTTTGGTATGCGTATCAAGTTGTCTATTTAATGGGTTTATTTAAAAGTGAACAAAATATGGCTAAACAGAATTGGACCTTAATGCATTTGGTTTTGAGTATGAGTTTGGTAATGTATAAATACTATTTTTATAATATTTTTATTTTATGATAGAAAAAATAAGAATTATAAAAGCTTGTCGATATAAAAGGCAGTTATGGTCTCATAAGCCATTTTATTTTTTTGAAATCCCGTCACCAGAAAATAAACTAATTTTTAAGCGCCATGTTGATTCGAAAGATTCTACCGATGGATCCAGGTATGCTTCCGCTTATATTCCTCGTTAATTCAGTACGAGATTGTATATTTAGATTTATAGATTTGTTAATCTAAAAAGTATTTTTATTCCAATAAATGGTATCAGAGCATTTCTCGTATTGGATTTTCGAGATTCAAGTTTTTTTTGTTTTGTGATTTTAGATTTTTGATTCAAAATTTTGGCTTTTGAATTTTATTTTTTGTTTGGTTAAATTCATATATATAGATCCAAATATATATATATATGAATATTAGAGATATATATATATACATATAGAAGTTTAGAAAAATATATGGATATATATATATGAGTTTAGTATGTATATATATACATATATATGAAGCATAAAACAAAAAAAGAAAATCAGTGGCCAACCACCACAACATGAGGAAGAAAGCCTGGCAGTTACGCAACAGTTCGACAGCCGAATTTCATGCATGACGACTGGAAATTTTTAGTTGTTACTGTAGCAATTTGGAAATTAGCCATTACAGGTTGCATGAGGAAGAAGGAAAAAGGAAAGTTTTGGGTTATTTGGGTTCTATTGTTATGTTTTAAATTTTAATTTATCCGGGCTTGGTCCACAAGAAGAAAAGAAAAAGGAAGAAAAGAAGGAAAAAAGAGGCCCATTTGGCTGCACCAAAGCCCAGGCGAGTTTGGGCTAGACCAACCTAGCTCAGACCCAAACCGGCCCAGGACCGACCGGGTGTTGACACGATCTGGTCAACATCTTGATCGATCAACGGTCAACATTGACTTTGACCGATCAACGGTCAACTTTTGACCCAAAAAAAGATTTTTAAAGGGTATTTGTGGTCATTTTGTGGTTAATTTTCTTCCTAATTAGGTTTAAATTTAGTTTTAATTTTGAATTTCAATATTAGTATGTGAATATGCATATTAAAATAAATTAATTTACACAATATATTAACAGAGTGATTTCTCTTGTAGATAATTTATTTATTTTATATTGTAAACAGTTGTATAAGTGTAATTTATGTGAGTATTAATCGGCCTAAAGGAAGGTTAATATTTAATATTATTGCATTCTAATTTTTGTGATAATGAATACGTGACAGTTATTCAGTATAACATGTGAACTTTAAATCGACCAAAAAAGAAGGTTTATTGTTTGATGTATTTTTACTATCTGTATTTAATTATTGTTATAGGGTACCACTTACAAGTTAATATTCTGTCCAAGTATACAGTATTAATGGAGTGCTCAGTATTTTGATGGGAATATACCTTTATTTAAAATTCATTATTAAATTTTATAATTTACAGTTTTATGTGAGTGCTAATTAATTTATTTTTTGTTTGTTCTTTATTCCACTTTCTTTTCTGCTAGAAGTATCACCGTGAATGTTAATTCCATCCCAATGTGGAATGACACAAACTTCAAGCAATGGAAGAACAATGTTCAACTTATGCTTGGAGTTATGGATATGGATTGGGCTACGGTTTGATCAACCCAATCTAATTATTTCTGATAGTACCTTTGACGAAAAGAAGGAGTTTGAAAGATGGGATCAGTCAAACCATATGAATATGTTGGTTATGGAACAAGCCATTCCAAAAATTTTTCAGGGCACTATGTCCGATGAGATCACAATAGTTAGAGATTTCATTCATTCTCTATAACAATGTTTTGTCATAAGTGTAAAGTTGAGGCATGTACACTTCTGTCGACTCTTGTTTCCATGAGGTATAAGGAAAATGAAAACATCAAAGAGCACATAATAGAGATGTCACATGTGCATGCAAAACTCAAGGCACTAAGAGTGGAATTGTCAGAAGAAGTACTTGTGTACTTTATTTTGATTTCTCTTCCACTACAGTTCAATCATTTTAAGGTGACATACAATTTTCAGAAAGAATCCTAGAATCTAAATGAGCTCATTTTACATTGTGTTCAGGAGGAGGAAAGGCTGAAGTTTGAGAGGACAGAGAGTGCTCATTTTGTAGTGATCTTAAATGATATGAAGAACAAGAAAAAGAAAACAAGTAAATCTGTTACGGTTTTAATACAACAGAAGATTCAGACAAAAAATGTTTGTTTCTTCTGTAAAGCTCTGGGGGACAAAAAAAAAAACAATGCGTTAACTAT